GTGTTGCCTGGTGGCTAATTGCTTTGATCATTTAGCAGTGTTTAGAAGTCACTGTCACTGTCACTGTCATCCCATTGTTCATGGATTTGCTTGAGTGGGCACCAGTAATGTCTCCATTCGTCCCTGTCACGTGCTAGTGTAGCCCAATGGCATATTAGGGGCTCTTTCAGGGTCAGTGGAATGAGGACCATCATTGTTACTGTTTCTGGCATATCTCGTACATGACAGGTAGCTTGCCAGGCTCTGCTGTGCGGGCGGGATACTCTCAGTAGCTTGCCAGACTCTCCGAGAGTGATGGAGAATTTTGGGGCAGCCTCTAATCACCTTTACAGGTGTTCCCAGTCAGGCATATATGCAGGCAGGATACTTTTGGTAGCCTGCCAGGTTTTCTAAGAGCAAAAATTAGACAATAAGAGCTGCATTTTTGGCCGCACACTTCCGGGAGCTTGTTTTTATAGCCTCTGGATCTTGGCCGTTGGTGGGATTACATGGCAGTTGGTGGGTGTAACTATCTAGCTACTGGAAGATGGGGGATCTGGATGGAGGAGGTCCAGTCCCCATCTGAGCTGGCTTGGAGACCTCAGCCCCAGGTCCCGCACACCTGGGTTCCTCTGCTGATTCCTTCATGTATGAGGCTTGCCCGAGCATGTGGAGAGTGGTCTTAGCATGGCTGTGGCTAGATTCCAGAGGTCTTCAGTTGCCGGGGCTCTGCTCAGGACGGGGAGAAAAACTCAACTTGCCCCCCCTCCAATGGGCCCTGGTGAGGACAGCCAGGCACAGTGGCAGGAGAGTGTTTAGAAGTAAATTTGTAAGTCAAAGCAATACATATGTGGCCTACAAGAAAGCAGTGCCTGTATTAATTGCCTTATTTGTAGAAGAAATAAGGGGAGGAAAAAGGCAGTACTATTTCATGCCTTGCCATAGGGGCAGGGTGGGATTGGGGGAATTGGGGGGTGGGAGGGATACTGGGATCAGTGGTGGTGGAAAATGGGCACTGGTGGAGGGATAGGTACTCGATCATTGTATAATTGAAACCCAAGCACAAAAAATGTGTAAGTCAACAACTGTACCTCATGGTGTTAAACTAATAAGAATTTTAAATAAATAAATAATGTCTAGCTTACCATTAATTTTGGGCTGGAGCGATAGCACAGTGGTAGGGCATTTGCCTTGCACGCAGCCGACCCGGTAGCCCAGGTTCGATTTCTCCATCTCTCTTGGAGATCCCGGCAAGCTACCGAGAGTATCTCGCCCGCACAGCAAAGCCTGGCAAGCTCCCCATGACATATTCAATATGCCAAACACAGTAACAAGAAGTCTCACAATGGAGATGATACTGGTGCCCGCTCGAGCAAATCGATGAACAACGAGAGGACAGTGCTACAGTGCAGTGCAGTGCTACCATTAATTTTAATAATTTTGATGTTAATAAACTTTTATTACCCCCCCCCCCAAAAGGCAGTACCATTCCAGCAGAGACCAGGTAATTGCCAGATGAGAGCTGTCCCTTCAGTTCCAGACGATCCCTAACCCCAGTTTCTACATGCGTATCACTGCAAGAGTTTAAAGGAAAACGGGAGCTGCTTCTGCTTGTTCTGTTCTGGCTGTGGGCTTTCTGAGGCTGTCTGAGGCTATCCTCAATGCGTTTTCTCTGTCAAAGTTTTGGGAATTCCTGGCATCGGGGAGAGGAAGGAAGGAGACAGGGGGTCCTCTAGGAATGAACCTGCTTTGTTTAATCAGGCGTAGCTCAATGACACAGAAAAACTGCTCTGGAAAAAAGCGTGCATGACCTACAATTCCTGAGAGCGAAAGATTCCCTCCAGGGGCCCTGGGAGAGAGGTAGGTTGGGCGAGCAGAGCGATAGAAGGAATTCTGGGTTCAGGGGAAGGAGGGCACAGAGGGGTGACGGGTACTGTGGCCCGGAGCCTTTCTGTGGTTTCTGCAGGGCCCAATGAGTGAAAAGCAACTTTGAGCACAGTTGAGGCTAGAGAAGTTGAACCCATGGTCAAGCTCCATGCCCTAAGCAGGTTTCTAGTCGGGGTATGATTAGGTGAAGGAGGTGGCTGGGGCATCCCCCCATCACGGTGTGGACCCATCCCTGAGAGTCTATCTTGAGTGTCTATCTTGAAGCTTCACCAACTGCAGAAATGAGAAGGCATGGCTAATATTTGGGTGGTGGTGGGGATGTGTTCCTCAGTCAGAGCTGAGTGCCCTGAGAGTGGCTACTATCCAGGATGCCCACAGGGTACGGGGAGGGTTTTGCCCATGGATCATAGAGCTACCTTGGGACTCTTTTTGGAGAGTGAGAAGACAGGAGCCTTTGAGATATGTCCAGGTGGGCCACTGGTTCTTAGGGTGGGGTAATGAATCTGTCAGGGTTCTACAGAGAAACAGAACTGGCAAGATGCATAAACCATCTATCTGCATATCTCTCTTTCTCCATGCACTAAAAATCTTTTATCCATCTATTTCTATCCATCCACTTATTATCTATCCACCCACTTACCTATTATCTACCTATTCATCCGTCCACTGCTGTTCCATCACCCACCACCATCCATCCACCACCCACTCATCCATCCACCTATCCACCCATCATCTATTTACCCACCCATCACCTTCCATCATTCATTATCTATTTACTTATCCATCTATCATTTCATCCATCATCCACCTATTAACTATCTATCCACTATCCATCCTTCCACTGTCATCCATCCCTCATCTTTCCATCACCCATTCATCTATCCATTCACCCAGCCTCTTATTATATACTTATCCATCATCTCTCCACCCATCCATCCACTCACCCATCCATCCACCTACCTACCCACTCATCCGTCATCCATCCATCCATCTACCCACCCACCCATCCATTCATCCATCCATCATCCATTCATCCATCTACCCACCCACCCATCATCCATCCATCCATCCATCCATCCATCCATCCATCAACTATTCACCCATGCATCCCTGCTTATCTAACCATTTATCCATCTATTTTTTATCTATCAATCTATATGACCATGTCTCGCCTAGAGAAAGATTAACAGAGACAGGGAGCTGGGTGTTAAGGAACTGGCTGGGGGAGTGTTGATGAGGGAGTCAGCAGCCACATTGCCTGTGTACAAGGCAAGTGCTCTACCCACTGCGCTATCCCCCTGGCCCCTGGGAACTCATGTTCAATGCTGCTTTAGTAGGTCTGGGGCAGGGCTGGCACATGCCGGAACAAGATGCCAGGTGAGGATGCTGTTCCCAAATCTTGTTTATTGTGAGACACAGCTGCAGTCCATTAAACCAGTACTGAGTGTGGACCAGATGGAGGCTCAGGCCGTGGATCAGGGCCGGGAGAGATGGCCCGGAGGGTAGGGCACGTGCTCAGTGTCCATGCAGAGCAGGGAGCGAAGCTTGAGCACAAAACCTGGCATCGATCCTGCCAGCTGCCTGGTCTGCTCCCCTGAGCCCCCCAAAGATAAGGATCAACGGAAATACTTTCAAGCAAGGCTTGCATGCAAATGAAGTTAGCACGCACTTAGTTGTAAAGAATGTTTAATGTTTGCAGGAGTGAGTAAATCAAGAGTTTATACCTTAGTTTTAACCTTGAAGCTCTCATCTTCTATTTTTAACAATTCTCAAACTGTTTGGTCTTGGAATCCCTTTAACGTGCTAAAAAGCTGAGTACTGAAAGAGCTTTTGTTCATGTGGATTTATAGCACTCTGATTTATTTATAAATGAAAATAGAGACAAAATATTTATGAAATTCATTTTAAAATAATATACCCATCATATGCTAACTTAACTGTGAAAAATGACTGCACATTCCCAAGCAAGAATGTGGAAGAACAGACGACTAACATCAGGCTTAATAAAAGACAGCTGGAAAGCGTGGCCTCAAGGAGTTAAGGGTCTAGAGCAACATGTCAATGGTCATTTCGGCTAATGTAGACACCCTTTTTTGGATACTAGACAACTTAACAAGCAGCTGGTTCTTAGACCAACGGCAGCAAAGATCTGACACCCTATCAATGAACTTTTTGTCAGTCTACACCTAACCTTAGCAGTTTATCTTGCAGTTTGAGCTGGTCTTTTACCCAGGAGTGATTTTGTAACATAAGGCACTGGTGACCCAGAATATATTCCTTATCTCAATCCGGCTTGTGGCACGGTGGAAACTTCCCATTGCCCGCTCCAAGTGAGAAGGACAAACAACTTCTCAGGATCAAGAGTTTGGCCTTTTGAACTCCCTAACTGGGCTGTGGGGAGCAAGAGTCCCCACATCTGTTCTGAGAACCACCGCTTCTGCCCACACAAAACACGCTTAAAGAACCCCCACTCATTGCAAAACAGCAATGGGATGAATCTAAAGCCAGAAGCGCAGTGAATGTCAAGGTTGAGAACAGAGCCCAGACAAACAAGCCCAGGAGGGCAAAGCACTGCCACCCTGCACCCTGCGGAATGACCACTGTCTATTTTGGCCACGGGTCTCTTTTTGTCTGGAGCACAGAAAACGCTCCAGTCCTTTCCCTTTGGCCTCGTGGTCAATTTCCCCGTGCTATGCATTCTGGATCAACTATTTTTTTAATAACTGCATAAAATAAAAAGCATTTTTTCCGTTTCACATTCACTCGAAGGGGGGTGTTAAAAAATATATACCACTCAAATTGCCTGGGGTTTTAGCAAAAAAAAAACAAAAACAAAAAACTCCAAATTTCGTTTTGCAAAGGGAAACAACTCTCGGCCTGCGTTAGCAAGGTCCCCGGGGCCCGCACGCGAGTGCCCCGGACGCCGGAACTCGGGACGCAGCGGCTCAACGGTCCGCGAGTGACTGCGCATGCGCGCGCGGGGCGAGGTCAGAGGTCGCGAGTCGCCGGGAGGGACAAACGCCGAGGCCCTAGTCTCTCCCCATCGCCCCACAGCGCCGCGCGCACCAGCCCTGGCCGGAAGCGAGGGGGCGGAGCTCCGTGGGCGGCGCCTGCGCGCTACGCCGCGTGCCCGGCCCGGAGCCGCCGCGGCCGCGCCCCGCCCCGCTGCGAGTGCGCCTGCGCAGCCGTCCGCTTGCCCGGCCGCCGCTTCCCCTCCCCCTGGCCCCCCGCGGGGGCTCCGGCTCTGGCGGGACCATGTTCACCAGCACCGGCTCCAGCGGGCTCTGTGAGTACGGGCCGCTGCGCTGCGGGGACCCTGGGCTGGCGCTGGGGGGACGGGGCTCCCCTGCCTGCGTCCCCTGCCCGGGCCGGTCCAGCTGGGGGAGCGGGCAGCGGGTCCACCCCCACCGCAGCCCGGGGGAGCGATTGGAAGGGTCGAGCCCCGGTGTCCAGCCTCCTCGGTCCCCCATCTCTGAGCCTCGGGTGCCCCAGAGGCGGACGCATGTGGGCTGGGCAGCGGGAGTGGACGGACGAGGTGCCCCGGTCACCTCCCGGGCCGGCCCTCGCTCGCGGTGACAACCTGTGTCCCTGGCCAGCGGCCCCCGATCCCGTTCGCTGAGGCTCCGGAGGGACCCGCGGAGGGGGACCCCGAGTTGCACGGGAGCGGACTCCGCGCCCCGTCCCGCCCCGTTGCTGCCCTCTGCGAGTTCGCGGGGTGGGACACGCCAGAACCGGTGAAAGTTCTGGTTCAAAGTGCTGGGAAGTGGGTTCCCCGCCTCTCCGCAGCTGGGTGCGCGCTGTCGGGAGGCTTGTCCTCTCCCCGCTGCCCGTGTGGTCAGCACCGGTGGCCTCGGGACAGCCCCCAGTCCCTCCCTCTTGGTGTGTCTGGGCCTCTGGGGGCAGGGGGTGGGCCCGGGAATCATCGCGGCTTTACAGTTGCGTGTCACCTGCTCCCCTATCACCGTCCAGGTGAAGCTCACCTGAAGACCAGGTTGATTTGCCCAACATCTCAGGGGCAGTGCCCGCGGTGCCCTGAACCTTCTCCCACAACCGGTGTTCTGAGTTAGGGACTCAGTAGTCTCTGCCTCACCCTGGGCCTGGACGTGAGTTTGACACTCAGAATTTCCCTGCGCTGCCCGTTCATTCCATACATGGTACCGTTCGTTTGATACAGAGTATCGTTTGTTTGATACATAGTATCATTTGTTGAATTCATAGTTTCATTTCTTTGATACATAGGCTCGTTCCTTTGATACATGGTATCATTCGTTTGATACATGATGTCGTTTGTTTGATACTGGTAGCATTCAAGCCTGGCTCTCAGGAACCAGCTGATCCCTGTCCTGGGAGCTCCCTTTAGACAAGGTATGAAACACTGTGACATTGGAGCCAAGAAGGGGGAAAGGATTTTTCTGGGGTCCCAACCGTGATCCCCCCACCCCAAGGAAGTGAGCACCTTTTCCTGTTCTTCCAGCCTCTTGAACTGGCCTTTCCAGCTGACCCAGATGCTTGTCGAACACTGGGAAGCCGGGAGATCTGTAACGGGTTGCTGACTGACTCCTCTGTTCTCTCTTCAGCCATCGATTCAGCTTTGATGCAGGGGCAGGGGCTGTTAGAAGCTGGAATGAGGGGGTCCGGGGACTGAATTCTCAGAAGCAAGGCTGCACCTGGCCCCAAAAGGCGTGCTCGACCCATGGCTCCTCCTGGCCACGTGCCCTGTTCCTGCTCAGCGAGTCTGCACGAGGTCCTGCCTGGTGCTCTTGCTTCCAGATCCTTCTTTGCATGTCCTCTCAGCCCACCCTCCCCTGGAGGCTGTCCTTGGCTCAGGGCTTAACCTCTGGCCACTCGCCTCTGTCTAGCCCAAGAGGTTTAACCCCAGGCATGTAAGTCTGTAAAGTAGGTGCATAAATCAGACATGTGCTGGTAGTCATGAGGTTTGGTTTTTCATTTGGAGGCCACACCGGGAGTGCTCAGGGCTCACTCCTAGTTGGGGCCATGTACAAGCCCAGTGCCTTACCTACTGCACTGTCTCTGGCCTAAATCAAATGCTTTTATTTATTTGGGGGGGAGGGTGAGGTGGGGACTTGGGCACACCCTGTGATGCTCTGGGGTTCCTGTGCTCAGAGGCAGTGCTTGCGGGGGTGGGGGGACCATATGGGATGCTGGGAATTGAACCCAGGTTGGCTGCACGTAGGATGCAGGACAAGTGCTCTCCAGCCCCTAGTTGTTTTTATTTATTTATTATTATTATTATTATTTTTCTTTTTGAGTCACACCCAGGGATGCACAGGAGTTACTCCTGGTTCATGCACTCAAGAATCACTCCTGGTGGTGCTCGGGGGACCATATGGGATGCTGGGAATTGAACCTGGGTCGGCCACGTGCAAGGCAAACACCCTAACCGCTGTGCCGTTGCTCCAGCCCCACCCTAGTTGTTTTTTAAAATATATATTTTTAAAGTTTTTAAAGTGCTGTAGCGCCCTGTGGGGCATGTCAGCAGCTGGGCTCTCGGTGAGCAGATGTGAGGTCAGTCAGCACTGAGACCCCCGCGAGACGAGGTGGCCTGAGGTGTGCATGAGGGAGTCGTGTTGGCTTCAGGGGACTGTTCCCTGTGCTTTATGCTGATTGACAGGGGTGTGGGGGCGTGAATCACCATCCACTCTCGCTCCTTTCTTCCATCACCTGTCTCATGGTGCTCACTCCCGCCAGGGTGGAGGAGGGCTTTGTGGCATGGGTGGACCAGCCACTGAGCATGGGACTTCACTGGTGGTCAGCATTTCCAGGCAAATAGTGGTAGATGGTGGGGTCAGGGGACCAGGGCAGGGAAGGGCCCCCTGCCCCCTTCCAGGAAGGGAGACATTGAATTCAGACCCCAGCTGGCTTTGGACCAGCAGGACCTGGAGAAGACTGCGCAGAAAGGGAGCGTCAGTGCAAGCCCGAGCAGGCCCGTGGGCCAGGCAGGAGCGTCTGAGGTCGCTCTTTGAAGCCCCATTACCGTCTGCCCGCTGGCAGTGGCCCTGCCTGGGAACCCTGTGCCCACGTCATCTGGGAAAGCTGGGAGTCAGGGCTCCAGTGACTTCCTCCTGGCTCAGTGACGCCCCCTCCCCACTAGCTCCCCCTATGTCCGAGCCCAGTGGGGAGGTCTGAAGGACCAGAGCCCTGGCACAGCGGGGAGGGCATTTGCCATGCACAGGGCTGTCCTGGGTTTGATCCCTGGCACCCCGTAGGATCCCCCAAGCCCTTCTTGGAGCGATCCCTGAGCTCAGAGCCGGGAGTGAGCCCAGAACACTGCTGGGTGGGGACACAGGTGCTGAAAATACCCCATGGCAGGCATGGGGTGAGGGCCTGGGTGAGGGCCAACGGCTGGGCAGGGTCGCTGCAGGGATGAAATAGAGGTTTGTGAGTACTTGCTCTACTGGGTGGGTAGAACCCCTGCAGGTGGAGTCTGGAGAAGCCCTGGGACCGAGTCCCGGGGCCATCTCCGAAGCATCAGTTAATCGGGCCAGAAATAAGAATTGGCTGAAGCTCCTCAGGCAGGTACAAGGTTTGGAGGGGCCCCCAGGCTCCAGGGGGTGCTGCATGAGGGCTCTGAGGGGCCCTGGCGAGTGGTGCCGCACCGGCACATCAGAGAAGAAAGTTCCAGAGAGGTGGGTAGGTGGGTGGGCAGGTAAAACCGAGGCTGGTGGGGAGGGAGAAGTGTATTTGAGAGCCAGATGGCATCACCTTCAGGCAGGAAATGTAGAGGAGGAGGAAGAGAAGGAAGTGGAGGAGGAGGAAGAGGAGGAGGAGGAGGAGGAAGGAGAGGAAGGGGAAGATGAGAAGGAGTACCTCGACTGTGTGTAGTGTCACAGGGTCTGGGCACTGTGCACACAACCTTAGGCGGGAGCTATGTCACGGGTCGGATGGGGACCGAGTCTCATCCTAGGGACAGGTTCAGGCCGTGCCGCAGAAACGGGGGTCAATGAGATGGGAACTCGGCAGAGCTGGCCACAAGGGGCTCCCTTGGGGGAACCTGCCTTTGTTCCCCAGTGCTTCCTCTCCTACTGCTTCATGCCCTCCCCTCTGCCCGTCCGGGCCCCAGCACCTGCCCAGGCTTCCTCCGGGGAACGCAGCATCTGATGGGTGTCTCTGGTGGGTGCTGCTGCCCTGGGCCTCCCCCACTCAACCCCTCCTCCGCCCAGACCCCTCTCCTGACCCCCAGGACTGTCTCCAGTTCCCGACCATGCTGTGCCTTCGTGCCTAGAACACGCTCCCCTGACGTGATTCTCTCCAGTGTGTGTCAGCAGGACAGCCCCGGGTGGGCTGGGAGGGACAAGGAGAGCTCATGGGGTTCATGTCAGTGGGCTCCCATGGATGGCTTATGTGAGGCGGGGAAGAGAGATGTTACTTTCTCCCGTTCTGCGCCTGCCACCCCGAGACCCAACTGGGTAGGCTAGGACTGATCAGGTCTTCAGTGAGCCCCTGCTTGGCATAGTCAGAGCCCTGCCAGCCCCACCAGGTGGCCGTCAAGCCCCAACCTGATGTCTGCTTGGTCTTCTTGACACAGGACTTGATCCCCACCCACCAGATCCCTCAGGGAGCCACAAGCTCAGGCTGGGACAAGGATTTGCTCTTTGCAGGAAAGGAAAGTCGGTCCTAGGCCTTACCAGGGTTACTGAGTTCTTGTCGTCTCTCGCAAATAATTTCAGGAGGAATAGATGAGCAGCGAAGTAAAAGAGATTTTATTTGAAGGTTTTTGAAGGGGAGGAGGGAGGGGAAGGAAAGCAAGAGATAGAGAGCAGAGAGAGAGAGAGAGAGAGAGAGAGAGAGAGAGAGAGAAACGCACTCAAGAGAGAATGCGGACTTGAGACCCTACACACACCCAGCATTAGGGAAGCATGAAGGTCCACATCTCAAGAGGGGAGATGAGGGTGACACATGTGCTCAGGCTTCTTGGCCATGTGGGCACAAGCAGCACATGGGCTCGGACGGCATCTTCACGCCCTTCCTTTGCGAAGGTGACCTTTATAGGGTTTTCCCAAGCTGCCCCACGTTGGGCTTTGTGATGAGCAATGTAAGAGCCCATTGTTAAGAGCTGTTTCCAAGGGTAAGAGTTGGGATGGTCTTCTTTGAAACTCCTTTTCTTGACCTTTGTTCCTGCTGGAGCTTCTCTCAGAGGGTGGGTCCAACCTTCTCTGGTCTGGGCTAGCTGAGGGTGACCCAGACTAAAGGAAGGAATTAATTGAGGGTCCTCCAGTAATTTCCTTCAGGCCCTTCTTGTGAGGAGGGTGTGCAGTTTCCTTAGAG